TAATTTGATTATAATTTGATTGTAATTATAGCAATAAAAGTAAATTTTTGATGTATGAGAGATTTTCTCCTCCATAAAAATTCGGAACGAAGTTGCTGACATAATCTTGTAAACATTACTCGATGGTGATTGGCTGTCATAATGGTGTAATCAGCGTGATTGACTGAATTGTCTGGAATCCTTTGCTCGTTTCGAAGATAATGCAACAGATTACTCTCGATCCGGGGGTTCAAGTCGATGTTCCCAATATAGGTACACTGCAGGAAATTTCGGATCGAGGAATTTATATTTGCAGGCCCGAGCCGAGCCTGCTAAATAACGGCCCCAAATCACCGTTTTGAATTGAGCCAAATATTTTATTTATTTTAGGCACCCAGAAATCAATGAAGCCTATCCACACTTTCAACAGATTAATCTTCAATCCCCCGAGCTATTAAATATACATTTAAAACTGAAGCGCCACTCATCAGTCTATCCAACCAGATAGTCGGCAATGGTTTTAAATTAGACAAACTGTGACTAGGAGAGAGATAAAAAATATTTGCTTGGAAATATAGATGTTGAGTGAACAAACACAAACACACAATTCTAAATACGATAGTTTAAGGTTATTATGTTGGGTGATATATTGTATATGATAGGGGTTGGGGTGTAAAGCTTTATGACTGTTTCATGGGCCAATAGTGTCTCGTCATAGCCCAATTCATTTCTTTTGTTCTTACACCCACACACTTTGCAAACCTCAGTTAAGTTTATCAATTTATGTGCTGAGTTGGAGGCATATACAGGCAAAACAAAAGCGCATCGCCAACCCGCATCCAAGGAGCACTCTGGGCCGTTCTGTCTCAAATCACACAACCACTCATTCAGCCATCCGTAACCACGCTCACCAAATACGACCAGTTGACCACCTGTTCTTCACAGTCTGATTTTCAGTTCTGGCAGACAACTGAAAGACTGACCTTGCAGCCTTTGTATCAATATGAAGTAAAGCCAATCCATTTGTGATATGGCTTTCTGTAAATCATGTTTTTCTACACTGCCTAAGTCTTAGTTTTTATTTATTTTTAGTTTTGGTACGTACATCTCCAATCATTTATGTTACGTTACTTTGAAAGGGTCTTTATAGCTAACGTTTAGAATAGTGTTTCTATTTTTTTCTTGCACATTACCCGTATTTTATAACTTTGCTCTGTTTTTGGCCTCTGAAGATGGAAAATGATTTTCCAAACTTAGTAATTGTAAAGAAAACCTGCAACTTTAGGTTCGTTAGTAGTATTTGCCTTGATTCTAGATTTGCTTCCCAAAATTATTATTTTACTGTACGTATTATTTTTAAGAATTATATTTTTTAAAAAGTACTCATGATTATATTACACTAGAGGATAACAGGAAATGTAAAAATACTGCCAAGAATATTTATTATTCATAATATTATAAAAACCTTCATATAAACAAGTCTATTCCTTTTGTTGTCGTAAGCTTAATGACCAAAAGGCCTGAAGATCTTCCTTGATGTCATAAGCAAGACTTTGCTTCATTTGCTGCATCCTGTGGGAGGAAACATTTTGTATTATAACACATAATGCTGAGATATTCAATTCATGAAACCTGGAAATATTTAACAAGGTTTCAGATTAATTTTAAATTTAATTAAAAATAGTGAGCCATTACTCACTACCATGAAAAAATACATGTTTTTTAAGATTTTATTGATTACTAAACTATTTCGTGTTTGGTTTAAAGGTAACAAAAAAGAACAACCATACCAGTTACTTAATTGTAGCTGCCGGAACGTCTGCCGAACGAACCACTCAAAGGAAGAAATAAAATGAAGAATCATGACACTGAGTACTCTGGGCAACTTCACCACCATGAAGGTTTGTAAGCAAGATATCCATTGAGTACAACTGATATCGGCTGAGTACAATTGTTCGGAAACTTTAAGATCACTAAAGCCTTATCAGGTTCATTATTAATTTCCGTAAGCTAATATAATTATTTTCACATAATATAAATATTATCCTAATTACTTTACTAGGCTGGTTAACAACATGTGTATATGGATTCAGTGTTCAATAGAACATATTACAAAACACAATAAACAGTAAGTATTGTTGATATGGTCTTTTGTTGCATATTATTAAGAGACAACATCAAAGGATTATCCACTACAATCCACCGACCCTCCGAATCCACCCTACCACCAAATCCACCTACAGCTGCCGCCATCTCACCGTCACAGATCCTCTACTGCCCCAAATCCTCTACCGCCAAACTCTACCACTGCCAACCCACCCGTATCCACCGCCAAATCCCACCGCCAAATCCTCCACCACAAATCTCAAAACCTCCAATCTCCATATCACGTATCCATCACAGCCAATAGAGTAACAGCTAGGCACAGAATAACGATGGCGAACACCTTGACGGATCTGGTGAAAAGAAAAAGCAAAATTTATTTCTACTACAAAATTTAATAAGACAAAGAAAAATTCTTAATAATGTTGTATTGAAAGTAAGATCATTCCATGAATGGAGTTATTAGGAATTGATATAAAATAAGTTCTTGGTCACCATGTTTGTTGTTGTGGCGCTGAAGACAAGGACGATCATAGCTTACAGCTGGCATATTTATACCACCACAAGGTGTCATTCATCATAGCAATAGAAGCATATCATGACCTTGAGCCAGTGATGAACACACAAGAGAGGAAGCAGGGAGTTGTCAGGGAGGAGGGACGACCAGACCACTTCCTGAGTTGCAAACTTATATACCTGTACTATATATTGCTTCACTATTGATATTATATTTATTTGCATTTATTTGTGTTTTATTATTATTACATATTATTATTATTATTATTATTATTATTATAATTATTATTATTATTATTATTATTATTATTATTTTTATTATTATTATCATCATCCTCAGTCTCGATGGGTCATAGACCTGTGCCCTTGTATAATCCTGCAAAAAAATAAAAAATAAAAAGTGCAGCTGGGTGAATTGAATGTCCATGAGATCGAGCCACCAACCACTACTACTCACCGCCTGAGAGTCTCTTACCATTTGTCATTTAGGGAGGAATGGCATAAGGTAGTACGTTACGACACTGATATAATACATGTATTTATACCAAAGGGAACTACCGACACCAGGATAGAAGACGCATTGAATTTGCATTCAGGCCATGATCGTCAGGTAATATTTATTACGGCAATAGCATTACGCGTCCGAATTCAGAATAGTGATTTAAATTCTCTTGAAGGTTTAAACCAAGGATCGAGCGACGATTTGGAAGATTACAGTATTCAGAATGTCATCATCTTGGTCAACATAAGTATTCAAAACCTCGGGTTTGAGATCGTTATTGTCGATCCTCGCGTTAATCCAGCCCGGAAGCGGGTTAACTTTTGATCTTTGGAAGCAAGTCAACTTGAATTTTGACCCAGAGCGCGGTTTTTCTCGGCGATATCACCAAAATTGGAAATTTTGCAGAAAAGATTGATGGTGAGTAGGCAGAATTCTGTAAAATGCTTATGATGACACGCAATTTAAAACAACGATATAGGTTCAGCAAGGAAAGATTTCTGATATTTCCGTGATATGGAGCATCTACTGACAGACCTGGTTATTATGGTTCACCTTTCAATTTCCATTCACATCAGCTGACATTGCTTGAGATTCTTAAAAACGAACAGTTTCGCAAGAAAAGACTTGGTTACTGATTATTTCTATGTAATGTGTTGTCACACTGTGTTTAGGATCCATGAAGATCCAGTATAGGTAAAACGTAAAGAACCTGACGCTTTATATTGGAGTGTTTTTGGGGAAAACTACGATGTATTTTCTTAATATAAATTAAATCAATGTTGAGTGCATTTATACTTTAATGTATTAATTACAAATGTCTTTTCTTTACATACTAAGAGGGAAACGTTAAAAGAACAGAAAGAAACCTATAAATACCGACCCTATAAGGTTATCATCGTATTGATTCATATCTTGCTTTGGTTATGAATAAAATTTACACCTGTCCCGGATTATATCTACAATTTGTATGTAATTGTTCTTCTTCAAGAATTTTGTTATCACATGTCAACGCAGCCATGCTATGTAACAAAGCATCTTTAATCATTATAATTTTGATTATAATTTTGAATAACATATAACAAAAGCAATTTGATGGCATTAGAGAGATTCTACAAAACAACGCAAAACAAGCCGACATAATCTTGTAAACATTACTCCCTTGATGGTGATTGGCCGTCAATCAGTGTAAATTTGAAGCGTGATTGGATTGAATTTCAGTGTTCGGATCTTGCTCGTATCAAGATAATGCAACAGATTACCTGATCCGGGGTTCGTCGAGATGCTCTGAATATAGGTAATACACTGCAGGAAATTGATCGAGGAATTATATTTCAAGGCCCGGTTTGCTCAAAGAAGTATTCAAAATCACCGTTTTGAATTGAGCCAAATTATTTTGCCCTTATTTTAGCAACTTCAGAAAACTTCTAAACAAATACATCCACAATTTTTCACAGATTAATCTCAATCCTCGAGCTTATCAATAACATAATACGAAATCAAATACACTTACCAGTTCATCTAACCAGGAGCAAGTCGGCAATGGTTTTAAATTAGACAAATCAGGATTTAGAGAGGATAGGCATTTGTCGTTCGAGAGGTTTGAGTGAAACAAGTTATCAAACATCAATAAATCTTCAAATACTGGATAGCTTCATACATATGCTGGGTGATATACCAAGAGTTAGATAGGGAAGGGTAAACAGAGGATCAGTCTCTGTATGGCTAATAGTTCATACAGCTCTTCTAATCTCATTTCTTGTTCTTACACCCACACACTTGCAAACCTCAGTTGTTTATCAATTTATGCGTGCTAGCTGGAGGGCAGTATATATAGGTAAAACAAAAAGGCACTTGTTAACTCGCATCCATGAGCACTTGGGCCGTTCCGTCCTTTAAATCACACAACCACCTCATTCAGCCATCCGTAACCACGCTCACCAACATGACTAGTTGACCACCCGTTCTCTCAGTCTGATTTTTCAGTTCTTGGCAGGTGCAACTGAAAGACTGACCTTTATGGAAGCCTTGTATCAATATGAAGTAAAGCCATCCATTTGTGATATGGCTTTCTGTAAACTGTTGTGTTTTTCTACACTGGCTCGTAAGTCTTAGTTTTTATTTTATTTTAGTTTTGTACGTACATCTCCAATCATTTATGTTACGTTACTTTGAAAGGTCTTGTAGAAGCTAACGTTTAGAATAGTGTTTCGTTTTTCTTGTACATTACCTGTATTTTTATAACTTTTTGCCTGTTTTCTTGGCTCTGAAGATGGAAAATGATTTTCCGAAACCTTAGTAATTAAAGAAACCCAACTTAGGTTCAGAATACATGTCGATCGGATTTGCTTCCCAAAATTATTTTACTGTATGTCGTATTATTTTTAAGAATTATATTTTTAAAAGTACTCATGATTATATTAAGTACCAGAGGATAACAGAAATGTAAAATACTGCCAAGAATATTTATTATTCATAATATTATAAAACCTTCATATAAACAAGTTCATTTTGTTGTCGTGTTTAATGACTGAAAAGGTTTGAAGATCTTCCTCTTTGATGTCATGAAGTGAAGACTCTCGTTTACTTGCCGTATCCTGTGGAGGAAATACTTTGTATTTTAATACACATAACGCTGAGATATTCAATTCATGAAACCTGGAAATATTTAATGTATGTTTGTGATTAATTTTAAATTTAATTAAAAAATAGCAGATTTATTACTCACTACCATGAAAAATACATGTTTTTTTTTTAAGATTTTATTATTACTAAACTATTTCGTGTTTGTTTTAAAGGTAACAAAAAAGAATGAACTACATCAACTACTTACCGTAGCCGCCGGAACGTCCGCCGAACGAACCACCTGTTGAAGAAATAAAATGAAGTAACTTATGACACCTCGAGTACTCTGGCAACCCCCTCAACACCATGAATAAGCCCGGTAAGTAAGATATCCATTGAGTACAACTGATACACGTATTGAGTACAATTGTTCGAAACTTTAGTACGATCACTTGAAGTCTTTATCAGGTTCATTACACTCGTGGGGTTAATATACTATTTTCACATAATATAAATATTATCCTAATTACTTTACCACATAATAACATGTGTATATGGATTCAGGTGTTCAATAGAACACATTAATAAAACACATGAAATAGTAAGTATTGTTGATATGGTTCTTGTTGCATATTATTAAGAGACAACATCATGATTATCCACTTACCTCCGAATCCACCTCGACCTCCGAATCCACCTCTACCACCAAATCCACCTCCATAGCCGCCGCCAAATCCTCTACCGCCGCCAGATCCTCTACCGCCCCCAAATCCTCTACCGCCGCCAAATCCTCTACCACCGCCAAATCCTCCACCTCCGTATCCACCGCCAAATCCTCCACCGCCAAATCCTCCACCGCTAAATCCTCCAAAACCTCCAAATCCTCCACTGCCGTATCCTCCACTACAGCTAACAGAGGCAACAGCTAGGCACAGAATAACGATGGCGAACACCTGACGGATCTGGGAAAAAGAAAAAGTAAAATTTTATTTTCTACTTTACAAAAATTTAATAAGACAAAGAAAAATTTCAATAATGTTGTATTGAAAGTAAGATCATTCATGAATGGAGTTAATAGAATTGATATAAACAAGTTCTCTCTTGGTCACCATGTTTGTTGTTGTGGCGCTGTAAGACAAGTGACGACTGTACGGAGCAGCTGGCATATTTATACTCACCTGCCACAGGAAGTCATTCATCATAGCAATAGAAGTATATCACGACCTTGAGTCATGATGAGTCATCAGTTACCGTTGATAGGTGAAGCAGGGAGTTGTCAGGGGGAGGGAGGGACGACCACATTCACTTTCCCAAGTTGTAAACTTATATACCTGTATACTATATATTGTTTCTCACTATTGATATTTATATTTATTTGTATTTATTTGTGTTTTTTATTATTATTATTATTATTATTATTATTATTATTATTATTATTATTATTATTATTATTATTATTATTATTATTATCATTATTATTATTATTATTATTATTATTATTATTATTATTATTATCATCATCCCCAGGCCCTGATGTGGGTCATAGACCTGTGTCCTGGTGGGCTAATCCCGTAAAAAAAAAAATAAAAAAAAAATAAAAAGTGCAGCTGGGTGAACTGGAAATGTCCGGAGATCGAACCACCAACCACTACTACCTACTGCCTGAGAGTCTCTTACCATTTGTCATTTAGGAATGAATGCAGGTTATATAGGTCGTTAAGGACACTGGATATAATACATACTATACTAAAGGGAATCACTGACACTCAGGATAGAAGACGTGCATTGAATTCATTCAGGCCAAGGATCGTCAGGTAATATTTATTTAATATAACAGTAATTAAGGTCCGAATTCAGAACAGTGATTTGAAACCTCTTGAAGGTTTAAACCAAGGATCGAGCGACGATTTAAGATTGTTGGTATTCAGAACGCTATCTTGGGTCAACATAAGTATTCAAACCGGGTTTGAGATCGTTATTGTCGATCCTCGCGTTAATCCAGCCTGGAAGCGGGTTTAACTTTTGATCTTTGAAGCAAGTCAACTTGAATTTTGACCCAGAGCGCGGTTTTCGGCGATATCACCATATTGGAAATTTTGTAGAGAAAAGATTGATGGTGATAGGCAGAATTCTGTAAATTTTTATGATGACACGCAATTTAAACAACGATATAGGTTCAACAAGGGAGATTTCCTTGATATTTTCCGTGATATGGAGCATCTACTTGACAGACCTGTTGGCTATGGTTCACCTCTACCTCCCATTCATCAACTGATGATTGCTTTGAGATTCTTAGCAACGAATAGTTTCCGTGTAAGAAAGATTCTGGTTACTGATTAATTTATGGTAATGTGTTGTCACACTTTCGTGTTTAGGATCCATGAAGATCCAGCAGGTAAATGTAAAGAACGCTGACGCTTCTTTATTTTGAGTGTTTTTCTTTGGGAAAACTATTGTGATGTATTTTTAATATAATTGAATCAATGTTGAGTGCATTTATACTTTAATGTATTAATTAAGCAATGTCTTTTCTTAACATTACTAATGAGGGGAAACGTGGGGTTAAAAGAACAGAAAGAAACCTAACGTCACTGACCCTAGCAAGGTTACTGGGCCTTCCATTGATTCATCTTGCTTTGGTTATGAATAATGACACCTGTCCCGGATTATATCTACAATTTGTATGTAATTGTTCTTCTTCTATGAATTTCTTTGTTATCACATAACAACGCAGCCACGTTGTAACAAAGTACCCTAATCATTATAATTTGATTATAATTTGATTGTAATTATAGCAATAAAAGTAAATTTTGATGTGCATGGAGAGATTTCTCCTCCTCCATAAAAATTCGTCGAATCATAGTTGCCGACATAATCTTGTAAACATTACTCTCGATGGTGATTGGCTGTCATAATGGTGTAACTGAAGCGTGATTGACTGGAATTTCAGTGTTCGAATCCTTGCTCGTAATTGAAGATAATGCAACAGATTACTCGATCCGGGGGTTCAAGTCGATGTTCTGAATATAGGTAATACACTGCAGGAAATTTCTGATCGAGGAATTTATATTTGCAGGCCTGAGCCGAGCTCAAATAACGGCCCTAAATCACCGTTTTGAATTCGAGCCAAATATTTTGCCTATTTTTAGGCAACTTCAGAAACTTCTAATGAAGCCTATCCACAATTTTCTCACAGATTAATCTTCAATCCCCTGAGCTTAATAAATATATTACTTAAAACTGAAGCCACCTTACTCAGTCTATCCAACCAGGAGTGAAGTCGTAGCAATGGTTTTAAATTAGACAAATCTAGATTTAGGAGCGAGATAGGTAAATATTGGTTTGGAAATATAGAGGTTGAGTGGAACAAGTTACCAAACATCATCATTAACTCAAATACGCTGGATAGCTTCATACATACGTTGGGTGGATATACTGTATGAGCGATAGGGGTTGGGTGTAAACAGGACTGCCCTGTATGGGCCAATAGGCCCGCTGCAGTTTCCTCCAATCTTACTCTCTTTGTTCTTACACCCACACACTTGCAAACTTCAGTTGTTTATCAATTTATGCGTGCTAGCTGGAGGGCAGTATATATAGGTAAAACAAAAAGGCACTTGTTAACTCGCATCCATGAGCACTTGGGCCGTTCCGTCCTTTAAATCACACAACCACCTCATTCAGCCATCCGTAACCACGCTCACCAACATGACTAGTTGACCACCCGTTCTCTCAGTCTGATTTTTCAGTTCTTGGCAGGTGCAACTGAAAGACTGACCTTTATGGAAGCCTTGTATCAATATGAAGTAAAGCCATCCATTTGTGATATGGCTTTCTGTAAACTGTTGTGTTTATCTCACACGGGCTCGTAAGTCTTAGTTTTTATTTTATTTTAGTTTTGTACGTACATCTCCAATCATTTATGTTACGTTACTTTGAAAGGTCTTGTAGACGCTAACGTTTAGAATAGTGTTTCGTTTTTCTTGTACATTACCTGTAATTTTATAACTTTTTGCCTGTTTTCTTGGCTCTGAAGATGGAAAATGATTTTCCGAAACCTTAGTAATTAAAGAAACCCAACTTAGGTTCAGAATACATGTCGATCGGATTTGCTTCCCAAAATTATTTTACTGTATGTCGTATTATATTTAGGAAGTATATTTTTAAAAGTACTCATGATTATATCAAGTACCGGAGGATAACAGAAATGTGAAATACTGCCAAGAATATTTATTATTCATAATATTATAAAACCTTCATATAAACAAGTTCATTTTGTTGTCGTGTTTAATGACTGAAAAGGTTTGAAGATCTTCCTCTTTGATGTCATGAAGTGAAGACTCTCGTTTACTTGCCGTATCCTGTGGAGGAAATACTTTGTATTATAATACACATAACGCTGAGATATTCAATTCATGAAACCTGGAAATATTTAATGTATGTTTGTGATTAATTTTAAATTTAATTAAAAAATAGCAGATTTATTACTCACTACCATGAAAAATACATGTTTTTTTTTTAAGATTTTATTATTACTAAACTATTTCGTGTTTGTTTTAAAGGTAACAAAAAAGAATGAACTACATCAACTACTTACCGTAGCCGCCGGAACGTCCGCCGAACGAACCACCTGTTGAAGAAATAAAATGAAGTAACTTATGACACCTCGAGTACTCTGGCAACCCCCTCAACACCATGAATAAGCCCGGTAAGTAAGATATCCATTGAGTACAACTGATACACGTATTGAGTACAATTGTTCAAAACTTTAGTACGATCACTTGAAGTCTTTATCAGGTTCATTACACTCGTGGGGTTAATATACTATTTTCACATAATATAAATATTATCCTAATTACTTTATCACAAAATATCATGTGTATATGGATTCAGGTGTTCAATAGAACACATTAATAAAACACATGAAATAGTAAGTATTGTTGATATGGTTCTTGTTGCATATTATTAAGAGATACCATCATGATTATCCACTTACCTCCGAATCCACCTCGACCTCCGAATCCACCTCTACCACCAAATCCACCTCCATAGCCGCCGCCAAATCCTCTACCGCCGCCAAATCCTCTACCGCCGCCAAATCCTCTACCGCCGCCAAATCCTCTACCACCGCCAAATCCTCCACCTCCGTATCCACCGCCAAATCCTCCACCGCCAAATCCTCCAAAACCTCCAAATCCTCCACTGCCGTATCCTCCACTACAGCTAACAGAGGCAACAGCTAGGCACAGAATAACGATGGCGAACACCTGACGGATCTGGGAAAAAGAAAAAGTAAAATTTTATTTTCTACTTTACAAAAATTTAATAAGACAAAGAAAAATTTCAATAATGTTGTATTGAAAGTAAGATCATTCATGAATGGAGTTAATAGAATTGATATAAACAAGTTCTCTCTTGGTCACCATGTTTGTTGTTGTGGCGCTGTAAGACAAGTGACGACTGTACGGAGCAGCTGGCATATTTATACTCACCTGCCACAGGAAGTCATTCATCATAGCAATAGAAGTATATCACGACCTTGAGTCATGATGAGTCATCAGTTACCGTTGATAGGTGAAGCAGGGAGTTGTCAGGGGGACGGAGGGACAAGCCGGAGTCACTGAGTTGGGGAAATAATAAGTTATGACGGGGAGAGACAGGTGAAGGAGACTTGTATCGATGACTCAGTATATTTTGTGGACAGTCATATAATTTTTCGTCTAGGAAATATTCTTACTCAGGTTGTGCGATTTTCTCAGAATATTAGCCTGAAATACGATAAGTCTACTCCAATAATAAAGCAAAGTTTGTTGAAGATTTGAACACAAACTATGACAGTTTAAATGATGAAAATAGCGATAAATATGTATCAGGACAGTTTTAATGTTCATTCCAAACACAACTCTCTATTGATGTATGTATAATATTATTGTAGTCAAATTATATTCTCGTAGTGAAGAGAATAGACTGGTACAGTATTGAATAAAATTTTTGTGTTGCGAGTAGGTTACTCTATTCAGTTTTGCTAATGATGTCCCCTGAACTGCCTCAGTAGTCTCATTCAGTAATGTCCTGAAATGTCCTGCGATTATCTGTATTCTTAAATATATTTATTCTTCAACTGTTAGTCATTATTAATAAATACAGTGACAATATTGTTGGAATTAATTCCTACGTAAACTAGAACTGTGTTTGATAAA